AAGGCGGTGGTGCCAACAGTGCTCTGAGCGTCGGTGATATTGAGATCGATCTACTCCAATTGGACTTTGTGTACACTACCTATCGCATGGAACCCAATCTCACCGATCGTGTACGCCTTCCCAAACAACTCTATTTCCACACGTGGTGCCCTCGTCTCATACAAAAGAGCATTTCAGATGATGCTGGTACACTGGAACTGCTTCACAATGCGGACATTCCACGCAGGATGATCCTGTTCTTCACAGATTTGACTCATGGTACACAGCCAGCATTGGCTGGAGGTCAAGCATCGCATTCTTCGAACAGACTGGCCATGATTCATGCAAATCTCAGTCAACTTCGTGTCACTGTCAACGACCAGACGCTCTTTGACAACCCGCTCAAGTTCCAGTGGGATGTGAGTCGTAATACTGAAGGGCAATACTTCTACGATTACAACAAATCCTCCTACCTGCGTGGCTACAATCTGGTTCAAGACTTTTTCGGCAAGACGTATGGAACGCAAATCCCCATCACCGCTGCAGATTACTGCAATCACTACTTTATGGTGCCTATCAACTTGAATCTGGATCGGACCACAGACAATCCAAGATCGAGAGGAAATCTGTCCATCGACTATCAATTTAGCGACGTGACAAACGCCCCCGTGAGGAGACCTAGCGAAAATGGCGCCTCGATCAAAGTCAACCTTCTCTGCATGGACAAGTACTTGTACACCATGAGCAAAGATGAAGGTATCAAAGCCGATGTTGTATGAATTAATTCCGACCTAGTAGTAAAAGGGCATCATGGAAGGTGGTGACCTGGAGACCAGACATCGTGTCTACGGTGGTGATTTGAAAACATCGAGTCGACAACACGGTGGATTCTTCTGGAAAAAGAGCTTCTGGAAAAACCTAATCGGTGCTGGACCGGATGAGATGGAAAAACAGATGGCGGAACCCACGACAAAACAAGATGCAATGCAACGCGGTGGACTTGGACCCCTGGCTGCCATGGCAGGAATGACACTTCTTCCCATGCTTTTGGGGAGAGGAGAGTCCGGAGACATTGTGGAAACGCAAATGAAAACAGCTTACAACCCTGCCATGCACCGAGGAGGTCTAGCCATTCCACCAGGATTAGCCGCCAAGGCCATACCACTCCTGACGAATCTGGCTGCTCCCTTGGCCATGGGTACCATGGCATCACTGGGTGACAACGTAATGGATAAAATATTCGGCAGAGGAGTAAGGAAGGGAAGCTCAGCAGGTGCCATGAAGCGCACTAAAAGTCGTCGTCGTCGGCATGCACCGAAGAAGATTCGTCAACGAGCATCTCGAAAATCCAAGAAACCAGCTCGTCAAGTTCGCTCCAAAGGCCGCAGGGCACGAGGAATAAAGAAACAAGGAAGGGTATTGTTCAAAAAACTAGGACATCGTGCCCTCGACGAAGCTTCATCGTTCCTGTCTGCACCTCGTAGATCCCTAACCCGTCCTGAAACTCCATTTGCTCAAAAAATTCGACAGAACATTAACAGTGCAGGACCGTCTTCTATGAGTTCCGCTCACATCGGTCCATCCTACAACATCTGATCATGGACTTTATCTCGCTCCTTGAACAGGAAATCGGGAGGAAGAAAAAGACTAGTCCCGTAAGGAACGACGATGTTCCGACCACGGCCACTGCTCGACACGGGCTGCACATTCCTGGTCTTCAGTTCGAGTCTAAGGATTGGTTCACGGAAATCATTCCTGCTCTGAAATCCTGGGGTCAAAACGTATTGTTTCTGGGACAGAGCAACATGGGTAAATCCTACTTTCTCATCAAGCTCCTGAAACGTGTGCAACCTGAGCGTATAGTTGTCATCTCCAACACGCCGGCCGATCAGTATCGTCTCCCAAGCCTCAAATCCTTCAAGCATTACAGCACCATGCCCGAGTGTATCGAAGACATGGATCTCCAGCCTAACACCTATGTGATCATTGATGACATCAGAGTGATGGGTTTGAAGCACGGCAGTCAAAGAGAGTGTCTCTACAAGTTCTTCACCATGTACAGTCATCATCATAAGTTGAACGTGTTCTTTCTCTCTCAGAGCTTTGATAACATTAAGGACATGAAGATCAATGCAAACTTTATGTATCTATTTCGCTTCACTGATAAAAGCAATATCAAGCGTTATCTCAATACTCTGTTTGGTGGTCTGTGCACGAAGTCATCCATTATCTTTAGATTGTATGAGAAGTTATTGGCGGTGTGTCGCAGACCTATCCTAACCATTGATTGCTCTTCTAATCAGTACTACACGTATTGCGAAGACACTGCATTAAAGGTGACTTTTGAATAAAAACCTCGTTGATGTGCGTGTTTAGCCGAAAAGTTAGCCGAAAAGTTAGCCGAAAAGTTAGCCGAAAAGTTAGCCGAAAAGTTAGCCGAAAAGTTAGCCGAAAAGTTAGCCGAAACATTGAAAAAAAATTCCAATAATGAATAAGAATGGAGCATCTTACGGTGAAATTCTCAAATGGGCTACCGAGCAGTATACAGAGGGTGGGGTCCAGAAAGGGATCCTTCTCGATACCCAAGCGTAAAAGGTTGCAAACCTTGCAGTTTATGTCGAAACATCCTCAACACATCCTCAAGAAGAGAGTAAATTCGTGGGAAGTTCTCGGTATACCACCACTCATGCGGCAAAAAGGAGGTAATAACTACAATACCTACTTGAAAAGCGTCAAGAAAGTTCTTTCCCAAGTGCCAGATCACAGTTTGAGCACCTCCACCCTGTTGGAACTGCAAGCTGATCCGCGAGTAAAGCGTCTATATGACACCCACTTCAAAAACAATCCCGATCACATCAGTTACCCGTCTGTGAGAAATGTGATTGCATCCAACATACTCAACTATGATTCCACTACCGATCAAGTTCGCGATTCCGTTGCAGATGTCAGGAAGAAGAGAAAGGCACCTTTAACATCAGTGCCTTTCAATCTATTACAAGACCACGAATTTGACCGATGGATCCTACAAATCCTGGACAGTTTCCTCCGACATACAAATATACCGGCAACCTTTTTGAAGAGCAACTATTTCACAAGCCGATCACAACTGCTGCAACTCTACGATGAAGATCGACTGAGGTTCAGGAGTCGGGTGGAAGCGGCTGCGGATGCCCTGAAGACGCAGACGATGAACGACTACACTACTCTGGTCAACGAGACGAATCGCATCTACATGTCCAGGTACCCGTTTGCAACCATAGCGGGTGCGGTGGGAATCCACAAACATGTCGATGGATTCCTTCGATCAGAACGAAAGATTCATGAACTAGCCACCCTAGTGCTAGCTGTACCGGGATCGCAGCTCAAGTTTCAAGATCTCAACGATATGACTTCTACGTATGGTAGAACAACTGAAGCAAAATTGATCCATCCCGAGCATTTCATGATCAGAGCACAAAAGGTGATGGTGGACGATGCATCATTCATTCAAGAGGTTCTGAAGGATAAAAGCAGGATCACTCGTATCATCAAGGATATCCTGAGTGGACGTTCAATGTGATCACGTGCGCGAAAATTTTCAGGCTATGATCAAGAATGGACTACCCTCTCAGCAGTGCCGACATCAAAGGAAGATTGAATGGTGTCGGAGGGTTCGTGGGGTGTACAAGTTACGATCTCTTACCACCCTTGAACAATGGAGACTTTTGTATCGTCAACACCGACAACGTTCTACCGGTGTACGATGCACCGGAAGGTGGACATCATTGGTTGACCGTGTGTCGCGAGCAAAACGTGATCCTGGTTTTTGACAGTTTCGGACGCAGTCTATACACTATGGAGCAAGATTACACTGAACCTGCACTGTGCGATTTCTTTAAAGAAGCCTATGTAGACTGTAAGATCATCACCAACACCCAAGCCGTTCAAGACAGAAGCACAGCAGTATGTGGATGGTATGCCATATTGATGGGAAAGCTATTTTCCAAATATGGTCTGGATGAAGCACTTCGAATTTTCCGAAGAGTCTTCGATGAGGATGAAAAGCTGGAAAACGATCAACTGGTTCTCAGTTTAGGTGCCTTGCGAGGTGGTGGAGCCTTGTGGGATACGAAAGTGCAAAAAGCACTTCATGATGGAAGACAGAAGAAGAAGTCGCAGTCCACACCATTCCACACGCAACTGGCTAACGAATTGCACAAACCCAGACGAGTGCATTTCAAAAGACGCAAGGTGAAGAGCAGGTCTGTGGATCACATCTGGAGTGCCGATCTAGTGGATATGCAACGGTTTGCCCGAAGCAACAAGAACTATAAATTCCTGCTGACCGTCATCGATCTGTACAGTCGCTATGCCTGGGCAGTACCCCTGAAAACCAAAACTGGCTCTGCTGTCAGGGATGCATTCGACCTGATCCTGAAAACATCGAACAGGGTACCACAAAAACTATGGGTAGACGAAGGCAAGGAGTTCTACAATGCAACAATGAAGCAATGGGTCAAGGATCACAACATCATCATGTACAGCACCCACAACGAAGGAAAAGCCGTGGTGGTGGAACGCTTCAATAGAACACTGAAAGGCAGAATGTGGCGCCATTTCACGGAGAAAGCTACGACACAGTATCTTGACGTCCTTCCTCAGCTTATGGTCAAGTACAACAGCTCGAAACATCGCAGTATCGGCATGAGTCCCACGAAAGCTTCTCTTGATGGAAAACCAAAAGATGCAGACGTACACTCGAAGCAATCACCAGCTAAATTCAAAGTGGGTGATGATGTGCGTTTGGCTGTGGCTAAACGTCATTTCGAGAAAGGGTACACGCCCAACTGGACAGAGGAAGTGTTCGTGGTAAACGATGTCCTACCCACTGTACCTCACACCTATCGTGTTCAAGACCTGATGGGAGAAGTCATTCAAGGACAGTTCTATGGAGCTGAGCTACAACATGCCAGACACACAGGATTGAGATTCGATAAGGTGTTGAAATACAACAAGAACAGTCGGCTCGTCAAATGGAAGGGTTATCAAGACGAAAAATTCCATACCTGGTTAACAAAGAAGGATGTGAATGATCTCAAAAAGTATTAGCATTTCATATGTACAATGTAGCTCATGCTTTGGATTAACGTGAATATTATGAATCGCATAGTATTTACAATGTATTTCATGAGAAGATATGACATATGCTCTAGTATGTGTGGAAATCCCTCAGTGCTTTGGAATATCCTTGTGTCCGAATGCCAGGGTGTTGATACCATCCTCCAGAATGTAACGCTTACTGTCGAATCCACAGAGGGCAATCTTGTGTAGCTCCTCTCCGTGAATGCAATGTCGTCGACTTCGAAGAACATTCATTGTTCTCTTCAGCTGAGACTCCTCGACGAGACATGTTCGATAATCATCGACGGTTATGGTGTTTTTCAACACGCTTCTCTGCACACCTTTGGCACGCTTGCCATTGTCGTCGTTGTCTTCACAGCGGTATGCGTACATCTTGCTCCGCAAACCAATGAACTCCTTGATGGGTTTGCCACCTAGTTCGTCCTTGAACTTCCCTACCACCTTCTTGTTGACCGTGCTGTACAGGTGGTGGGATGGTGAATAGTTGGATGTGTCATAGGCTGTTATGTTGTTTGACATATCGGTGTACAGATCATCCGTTTGAATATGTACGATCAGACTATCAGTATCAGTGTAGAGCAAACGTACATTTTGTCCATAGCGGGGTAGGAGAACTTCATAGTAAAAGGAATACATCAAGTGCTTCGACAGATCGAGGATGGCTGTACCCACATAAATGGGTTTATTGAGAGTCACCTTTGTCTTGGCAAACTCGATTGCTATCAGATCGTTCTCAAAGGCTACACTGCGGATGTACGAAGGTTTGTTGATGCTTTTCTGGAGACGTGGTTTTTCATCCTGTTCACGAATGAGCTTGATGTTTACTCTGTTTCGAACGTTTTCCATGGTCTTGCCATATACAGCATTGTTCATCAACTACGATAAACAGGCATACAAAGAAAAGACAAGAAAAACAACAATAAGAAAACTGTTATCTTCAGGTCATTCACACTTCCAGTACATACTAGATCCCACACTATCGCTAAATACACACACACACACACACACACACACATGATGTGGAGTACCCACCTTATAGAAGTCTTTCTCGAAATCAGAAGTTGATAGCTTTCTCAGGTCAGTATTAGTGTCGATGTATGGCTTCATCCATGGATGTTGTGTGAAGGAGAGCACACGATGCACATCTGTAATCTCCACACCCAAGGACACATACTGCTGCAAGTTTCTGTAGTGCAGAACATAGTGCTCTTTCGGTAGTAGATTTGGTACCAGTTTCTTCGCTTCCAAACCGGTCACCTACAAGAGTACAGTATAGATATACACAAACCTTAGAAGATTAATACAAGCATATCCACCAGATAGACCATGACTTACCATTAGTTTCTCTGCCATGTGGGTCTGATATGGAGAAAGCATATCTCGTGTCACCTTCATCTTCTCAGGAGCCAACGGATAGTCATTCATCATGTCATGCACACCATCTGGAATCCTTAAATCGCACTCCACCATGTATCCCGTCGAAGAGTCCATTGGATGATCGAGTACCGTCTCCAGAAGATCATCCGTCACTGCTTCAAAGCAGAAGTCCGACACGGGCAAGGGTTGAGACATGGCCCATCCATATAGATTGTTCGCATCTAAATATTGGATGAAGCTTGACGGCTCGTCTGGATTGTACTCCGATAGATATCTGTTGTTGGCGGTGGCGTGTCTAGCGGACACCATGCTTATGCCACCTCTTTTGCCATGCTCAATGAAGTTGAACATGTCAATGTCGGAAATGAGATGAAGGGACACCTTCGTCATTTTCAGCAGCGAATCCCAGGCAAATCCCGGTAAGGTGAGGTAATTAGCGGGATCCAATCCATAGGTTGCGTGAGCAGTTCTTCTGAAGTTTTCGAAAACGTCAGCCAACAGCAGCACATCAGTCTCCAGGTAGAGGTCGTGATAGTCTCCTAGATCTTCACAGTCAAACACAGTCCATACTGTTTGCGCATAGGCATAGTCTTCATCACTGATACCCTAGGGAATAGAAAATGTACACCAAAAAGAAAAACAAATCAACGAACTTATTTTAGTAGTTCGCCCACACAATCAATTATTTAGTATGAAGCTGTAGGAAGCGTTCAAACACATCTTGAATTATTTTAGTACTTCGAAGTAAGATGGTGAAAAAAGAAAGAGAGAAAGATCTACTATATCTATCACACTACTCACCGTGTTCGTTAGCGTTGAGTGGAATGCATCCTTGGGTGGTAGACGCGTTTCTTCGAATTGGTCGTACGACCCCATATATTCATACGGGTAGACACCCTTTCGTGTCAACAGTTTGCGTTCATCCTCGTCTGGAAATCGTGCGGATAGAAGGGCGAATGCATCTGGTGGTGTGGCCGAAACCAACCGGTCTAGGGAGGTGTTCAAGAATGCCAGGCTGTCGATGAACTGGAACTGTCTCCATCCGAATGTGACATATTTTTCACTGTTGATGGGAATCACTTTGATAGCACCGAGACGCTTGGTCTGAGAAGAAAGAAAAAGAGGAGACACAGTTTTAAGGTGCAGCTGTAAAGATGAATATCAATCATATAAACGTGAATATGAGTACCAACATAGTAATGATCTTCCTTCTTAGAAAAACATCATGATCCACGCACACGCACACACACACACACACACACACACACACACACACACACACACACACCACGCATATGTAACGTACCCGTTCTTGTCCTTTCTCGTTCACATACGTAATCTCATCAGTGGACGTTCTCCCAATGGCAGATATGATGTGATGAGAATCGTATCCCTTCAAGTTATGAAAGATCACAGGAATCTTGATCTTGAACGGCTCAATCCGCATGTTCAGGTTACAATGGTTGTGTGCTGCACCACGGTAAGCACCGGTGATGTGACAGTGGTCACGTACACGATCGCTACCCAACGCTTCACCACAGATCCAACAGGAGACTACCGTTTCAAATTCACGTTGCTGACTTTCTGAAATGATCATTTGACCAGCATTACATGCTAGAAGCTCATCACGGATAGTCTCCTCCTCTTGCTCAAGTGACAGCAGAAAACAGAACATAGAATCTTCTCCACGGTAGAAGAAACGGTTCGTGACGACGCCATCAGATCGTACTACAATGTACGAACAGGAACAGGCTACATGCTTGTTCTTTTGGAATGTCGAATGACCGATTTTCTTGTCAGCGGACAGAGGTTCTATGAAGGCCTCACAATCGGCATAGATCACCTGCATTTGAGAGAGAGAGAGAGAGAGAGAAGTAGGAATAGCAGCAGGGACAACATCGAGTAAAACAGCGGAAAAGACAGATAGAGAATTAGGAATAGCTGCAGAGACAACACCGAGTAAAACAGCAGAAAGGTGAACAATCAGAGTCAAGAAACATGTGCAGGAAAGAAAAGAAAAGAAAAAAAAAAAAAAAAAAAAAAAAAAAAAAAAAAAAAAAAAAAAAAAAAAAAAACAGACCACAGTGTGTTCACCTTGATTAAATGTTCTACTTACAAATGGGGCTTGAAGCTGCTTGTTCACATTCCTGAACATCACTCTATCGCCAGCCTTTGGCATCTTCACCGTGGCTTCAGGATGTTCACTGCAGTACATCATATGATTATTCAATGCCTTCTCCGTGACGTGTGTTGAGAGACATCTGAAGCAGACGAAATGTGCTCGACGTGCTCCAGTAGCAACAAGACGACTGAATGATTTTATCCACACCCAGTGCTGCACCTCCACGTCATTGCGTTCGTCTTGGATGAGCAATACATTGATGGCGGACTGCGGATGCTGAGAAATTCTTAACGGATATATGACTTTCTCTTCATATCCGAAGACGTTGATGTAAAGACCGTCGTTCAGTCTTTCGATGACTGGTATGTCTTCCAGTTTTGCTGGAAACTCGATGCCGCTCACATCCACAGTATCCGCATGTTCTGCGTACGACGATTGACGACATGGATGAGACTTGTCTGCCGAAAATTTAGCAGCCAGTATTGACCATCTAAAGTACGGATGACATAAGACATGGACAGGCGTCATACAGTTCAATCCATACACCGTATCACCACACTGAAACCCCACTGCTATACTTACAGTAAACACTTGTTGTCAGTGTTCTGCACGTTAACAATGGCCTTCTTCGACTTCAACTCCGGTGGCAAGGGGATGTACGAACTTCCTCCAAGTACACAGTAGCGTGACATTTCGATGTGTAAACAGGAAATCCGTTCAACTACCCAACCTGATCCATGACGAACGAAATCATCAAGACGAGCGTTGATCTGAGCAATCATCCTACTGAGAAGGTCCCTCAGCTCCATGGTGTTGAGCACCAGCGTTGTACTCGATCGGAAGAAGAATGTGTTGGAAACCATTTGTCCTGTAGCAGGATTCAGCTTCTGCATCACCACCTGAACTACCAAAGAACACTTGTACTGACCCCATTGCTCAATATTCTCTTCAAGAAGCAGCTCCAGCGACGGTAGAACATGAGAGAAAAACTTTAGTACATCTGCAAACTCTTGATCAGGACAATAACTAAAGAATTGCAACAGATCAGATGATCTCACTACATCAAAAGACTGACGAGGTTTCTTCCGAATGGGTTCCATCCTGAGCAGGGGTGGTGGCGGACAACCACACAATGGCTTGACAAGGTACCGAGGATCTATTTTTATAGGGTTTTCGTAATAGTTGAATTCGGAATAACTGGTTGTTTTTCAATTAACCAATCCACTCATCTCCCGCTGGAAACAATTAACCACTTACCGCACTTCCCGCTGAAAACATGTGACCAATTAGCGCACTTCCCGCTGAAATCACATTCATCCTTTTATCGCGCATTGACCCATGTTCCACACTTCACAGTGAAATCAGTGCTGCAATGATGTACTGTGACGTCAATGCATGGATGCATGATCTGTGCATCTGAGGTCAAGATGAATCCGGTATTCCAGCAGCTAAAAGTTCGAGAAAGAATTGTTGTATGTCGAAAAGAATTATACGAGAGGAAAGCTAGAAAAATTCTACACCTCATGGACCTTTCGATTACGGACATAGATGGAAAACTAATTGACTTATGTCAATGGAAAGATTCCAAACCCGAACCAAAAAAGACACGACATGTCGCGAGCAACGTTTTGGTTTTTGGCGCGCACCGTGTTCACCGTGTTCTCCAAGGTCGTCACCTTCCCGGAGGCGGGACCCGGCGGGACGGGACTTGGCGGGACCTATAAAACCTGATATAATTTCATTTTTGGTTCACAATTCATTTTTGAGTCCATTGGATGATCGAGTACCGTCTCCAGAATTTCTCTCTCTACCAGATCAAAGATGTCGGCCTGGTCAACATCCGAACCGTATGTAGAGAAGTTTTATTTATTTTCTTGTAGTAATAAAGATGAATTAACCGTTCGGTTACTCACCGATCTGGGTACAGCTTACGAGCTAAGACCCATGCTTCTTCACCCGGATCGGACGGACTTGACTCCCATGGAGATTGCACAGTATCTGTGCAGGGTGTCGACGCGCGTTCTCGTGAGCGGTGAGAAACACCAGCGTCTACCGAAGATCGTTGTTGATGGTGTAGAGGATTATGGATCATCATCATGGAGAGATACGGGCAGACTGCTCCGCTGCTGGGACGACGGACGAAGATCGATGTACAACGTGATGAAGGTTGCAGGTGTTCTGGATATTGTCGAAGAGACGTTTGCAAATGGAGAGCAGATCGAAGCTCAGGAACTCATCCGTGTCATCAAGGATCTCAACGATCGCAAGGTCTTTCGAAAAGACGGGGATTCACAAGCGACGACGAAATCTGTCCGCCTCTCAGTGATGTCGACGAGGATAACCTGTGTTGTTGCGCGTGTCGGCACGATCGACATCGACGATGAAGGATATCCTAAGAAGATGCCGGAAGTCTCGTGTGATTATGTAGTAAGCCGGAAGCGTAAGGCCGATGATGACCTGGATGAACCAATTGTGACGATTCAGGCTTCGAATACAGCTCCAATCATCGAAGTTTCCAGGAAGCGCTCCTGGGTAGTACCTTCTCAAGATATCTTTGATTGCTAGACTCTCTCTCTCTCTCTCTCTCTCTCTCTCTCTCTCTCTTCCTACCAGGCGTGAGCCATCCCCTGGGTGAACAAAATGGGTGCTATCTTCTCTCTCTCTCTCTCTCTCTCTCTCTCTCTCTCTCTCTCTCTCTCTCTCTCTCTCTCTCTCTCTCTCTCTCTTCCTACCAGGCGTGAGCCATCCCCTGGGTGAACAAAATGGGTGCTATCTTCTCTCTCTCTCTCTCTCTCTCTCTCTCTCTCTCTCTCTCTCTCTCTCTCTCTCTCTCTCTCTCTCTCTCTCTCTCTCTCTCTCTCTCTTCCTACCAGGCGTGAGCCATCCCCTGGGTGAACAAAATGGGTGCTATCTTCTCTCTCTCTCTCTCTCTCTCTCTCTCTCACTCTCTCTCTTCCTACCAGGCGTGAGCCATCCCCTGGGTGAACAAAATGGGTGCTATCTTCTCTCTCTCTCTCTCTCTCTCTCTCTCCGGAAAATGATCCGAAAAATTGAAATTACAAGTCAAAATACTGCAAAACTATGAGTTCTGATTAATATAAAATTGGAAAAAGTGAGATAACATTGACATTTGAAATAGTAATATTTTAGACATCGGAATGCAATATTATGATGTAGGGTAGGACATATTACCCACACCCTAAAAATCAAAATTAATGATACATGTAGAATTCCAAATCATGACACCATATTACCTTATTGTTTAGGGTAGAGCATAACACCCCAATACATATTTTCAATAATACCCCATTTTTTTTTTTTAGGTAGGGGCACCCCCTGGCACATATTTTTATCCGCAAAAAAACCGGGCCAAAAATAATTTTCACCGCAAAAATGGGGTACTATTAGTACCCCATTTTTTCAATAATACCCCATTTTTTGGGACCCGGGCGCCCCCTGGCCCAGAACCCGCTCGTCCATTCCTACTCATGGGCAGCTGCGTGGCTCGAAAACTCCGTATGGCAGAACACGGACCCGCATGCAGTCTACGTAAGACTTTCCGTGGATCAACTACGGCCTTTACTAACATAGGTACGTACGTGTAGTTCCCAATTCTTCATTCCACTTGGCTTGAGCGAAGACTAGCCAAGCTTACTTGGTGGTGTCAACGCGAAAAAGCTGATAACAATGCTCGAAGTGAGTACATAATGCCGAACCTCTCTATTGAATTTCCAAGTACTGTACCTGGTACTGTACTTACAGTACTGTACCAGGTACTGTACCTGGTACTGTACCTGGTACAGTACCAGGTACTGTACCAGGTACAGTACTGTAAGTACTGTAAGACCAGATATTTTAACGTCAATTAAAGTTAACGATCTCCGGATTTGTGTGGGTTAGCGAGGTGAAATTCTGACGAATTCCGTCTCAAAACCGGCAAATGACTGTACATGTACATATCGTTTTCAACATAACGACCTTTAAATCCGTGAAATCGTTAGAGTTAAATATTCGTTAACATTGCTGGTCTTACAGTAGTCCACATCCACACTGCGTTAAAAGCAACTGTCTGCAAAGTTACGTTGAAGACCACTCGACAAAAATCTGTTCACACACGATATGCAATGTGCGTGATGTGATGCACTGTTTACGTTCCCCCGAGGAGCGTGTCATAATTATTTCAACTCCACATTTCCGAGCGACTTTTGAACATTTTCTGCCGATCTGAACACACCTTGAAATTTTCGTTCTCAATTTGTGGTGATATTGCAATGAAATCTTTCTTTGCCGACATGGATCGTCAAGCCCGTGACAGGCGTCGGTGGAAAGTTGCCGCAGCCCTTGCCATTCCTAGTTCTACTGGTGGCCCTGTGACACAACAGCTTCGCCTTAGAACTATTTGTTAGAACTATTTGTTAGAACCTTTTGGGAATGCTGAGAATTCACTGCATTTGTGGATTCCAGTTTCGTTTCACCTATTTCTGGGAGAGCAGCTGTTGCGGACAGCAGCCCATCAACAAAATGAATACGCTACATGTGCCGGGTTTTGGGAGACGGAGGTACTGGGCAATTGGGAGAGAGCCAGACTGGAGTCGAGGCAATATTGGATTGGCCAATGAAGGACACATTTCGGAATGAGAAAACGAACGTTCTTCCACCTTGTGCAGCACTACGGTCATTTGATAGAGCGAGCCACAACTCACCTACAACGAACAACCCCAGTCATCAAGCGCTTGGCAATAGCGCTGTACTTCCTGGCACACGCTGAAACCTACTCCAAAATTGCTGGATGGTTCCAGATCTGCACCAGTACAGTGGCCAGGCCAGCATTGAGACAGACTAGGTGGGACCAATCACAGGGGACAGTATAATCTTTCCCGTGAGACGACAGTCGAACCGTAGCATGCGTGAATTCGAGGCGTGGTCCAATCTTCCCTTCCATACGGGTGCATTGGATGGAACCTTTATAAAAATACAAAAGCCGGAAGAGTACGGTGCCACGTATTGCTGCTACAAGGGCTTCTCAGCTATCCTATTGATGGCATGCGTTGACAGCAAAGGGTGCTTCATGTTTGTGTGGATATCGGAGCTGAAGGAAGTGTCGGTGATGCTGGAGTGTTCAATAACAACCAACTGAAAGCCCATACCATCAATAACGTATGGCTGTTGGGCACCAACTCAACGACGGCAACCGTACCCCGCTAAACAAGGAAATGCCATACAGCATGTCAGCCAATTCACGTATCTTGGCTCAGTTCTAACACCAGACAGACTATGTCATACTGATGTGTAGCTGCTGCATCCAAGGCCTTTGGCAGCCTCCATTCGTCAGTTTTTCGGAACACATCCCTTACATCCTAGAATGCAACGGTTTGTCCGGATCTAGTTGGTGACAGTGCGCTTGCCCTCACTACAACTATGATGAAGATATATCGTGACGATGGACAGCTCACGCCCCAGCGGCAGCTCAGCTTCAATACCGCTCAGATCCGAGCAGGTCGTGTCGTCGAGTGTGCCGGCTTCGGTCGTCTCAAGGGCTAATTCTCTGTTGTTCATGAGTGCAACACCAAGGATCCTCACTTTGCTAGCCAGATTGGCTTGCTGTACTGGGGACCGCATAACATCGTCGAACGCAGACATGTTGGCTACTTGCCCCAGTCGTCAACTATGAACACCTTCCGCTGGTTGCAGGCAATTCTTCCCCATGCTGCTGCCGCTACTCGTTCAAAACTAGCAAATATCCATTAAAGCCTAGATGAATTCTGAAGGGACACAGTGCCGTATTTTCCAGAGTATAAGTCGCACTTTGTACACTCAAAATTCACCCCAAAAAGGGGGGGGGGGGTGGTGCGGCTTATACTCCGATGATCTTATACTCCGATGATCTTATACTCCGATGATCTTATACTCCGATGATCAGTTTTTTTAATTCACGGTGATAAATAGGGTAGTGGATCTCTCCGTGGAGAGCGCTCTCCAAGCTGCAGGAGATAGACTAACTTGGCTTGACACTGTTGACAGATGCGTGGACTCTGCTCCTGTCTAACAGGTTCAGGGAAGATGTGAGCTGTATTTATTATTATTAAATAGGGTAGATGTTTGCATTTCGTGGCAAAACATGGGGGTGCGGCTTACACTCCAGCGCGGCTTATACTCCAGCGCGGCTTACACTCCGGAAAATATGGAAACTAAATGAAAACTTGTAATGCCTCACCTGCCATAGTAAAGATCTTGCGCACCTTCGTTGCGGAGAGATGAGTTTCAAGTAGCCAGTCAGCTACTCTGCCAAAGCTTGGCATCAGCACTAAGTAGACCATGTATGGTAGTGCCGACCATAGACTGGCCTGTGTGGACACACGCGCACACGCACACACACACACACACACACACACACACACACACACGCACGCATGCATGCATGCACACAAACAAACACACATGCACACACACACACACACACACACACACACACACACACACACGCACGCACACATGCACACACACACACACACACACACAAAAATTGCAGTGTATTGTTTGCTGAATTTGACTCTTGAGTTGTTTATCGTATTTGCTGTTATACGTAATATCATCTTTGTGTGGATGGCAAGAAAGTAAAGCTTACTAAAGGGCTGGGAGTTGTATAAAAGTATTTCAAGAAAAAAGATACCGTGCTCGTGCGATTAGAGCCCTCTCTTGAATAGTGCCCTACCTCGAATAGTGCCCCTGTCTACAAGAGTCAGTAAAAATACCCCCCCCCCCCCCCCCCCGGGGTTTGCAACCAAGCGCATATGCAAGGTTGGTGTTCTTATGCTAATGCTCTTGTCCATGTCATTGAACTGGTGGTTTCGGGATCATCAAGGCCGCTGGTTTTTTTACCGTTTCTTTGGAGTAGTATAGTTTACAGAAAACTGCAGGCTCTGTTTTTCTTTGTTTTTTGCCGTATGGCGCAATTGTACCAGCATTGAAAAAATAGTACCCTCTCTTGAATAATGCCATCTCTTGAACAGTGCCCCATCTGTGATGGACATTTAAAAATAATGCCCAGGAGCACTAATCGCGCAAGTACGGTATGCCTCATTGACGTAGGAAAGAAACAAGAAATGCAGTTCTTTTTTTTGTCTTTCTTTCGCATGATGTAACATTCGTTGCTCGCAAATTTGAGATACTGGGAGCATGCGCACTATCTGCGGCACTCTTTTTCTTCTTGCTTCGCAAGTGTAGTGTCCAAAACTGTAATCTCTTCTCTCCTTTTTATGAACCATGCCTCCCCGTAGAGGAACCCGTCGAGCAGCGAGTGCAGAGCCCGCACGATCGCAGGACAGGCCGGGTCAGCAGGACCACGTAGCTGCGGCACGTTTGGAGGAGCAGGTCACCCGTATTGGCTGCTCGAGGCCCAAATCGAGCTGGAAAGGGCCAGGGCGACCTAGAATTCGCCGCGCGGCAGAGGCCGCAGATGGAGACGTTCTCCGTCGTCGTCGTCGTCCCCGTCATCGTCGAGTAGTAGCGCTTCATGTTCACCAAGCCTCAAGAGAGCCAACAAATTTAACAAATCAAAAAAATTCAAAGAAGGATTGGCGTCATCAGCACCATTCTCGTCCTCGTGTCACCTTAGCGGGCCCCAGTAGATGGAGAAACATGGCCTACGAACACCAGTATGCTGTAAATGCCCGGCTCCAGGAGCGCCTGGACAAGGTGCGGAGAGCACTGCAAGCAGAGAGGACAAGGAGCACAACGAAGCACCTGAAAAAAGTGAGAGTATTCTGGAGGATAGACAATAGTGGCTTGCTGTCGCTGATGCCCATGGGGTAGAGGTGGCAAATTTCCGGACTTTCCATAAATGCTTCAAGGACCATCCAACCTGGGGCCCCGAGAGCATGCAAAGAAATAGCTATGTGGGGAGAAACACCCGTCTCCGGTTATTCTGCCAGGCGGAGGCTCGTCGTCATTAGAACGTATTGCGTTGTAGTCTTCACAACTGCCCTCGCCACACTCAGCTGTCCCTGCCAAACTAGCAAGAAGATTCAGCAATGGATTTCAGGCGGAAAGTTGATGAGAAAAAGTTCGAAGAAGTGCTATGCATGAGCGCTGATATGTCCTTTTCCAGAGCCAGGTAGCCTTTGTGTGCGAGTTGAGAGAAGTCAATCTCGAGCTATAAGCCTGGCAATTTGAACACGATGCAAAAATGCAGACTCGATGGGCTGAATATCTGGACAAGGGGGAGGCAGAGAAAGAGAAGGTTGAAGATTAACGACACAGTGAGGACGTCAAAGGTGATGAATGGCCTTGGACCAGGGCCAGCAACGCAGGTGATGACCTTGTGCTTGGAGCAGGGCCAGCAATGGCATGTGCAGACGCTTCAAGAGAGCAATGTCGTAGTCATGGCAGCACTGATGCAGAAATATAGCTTGTACTTGTTGCACTTGTGTGTGGCTTGTAGCTGGAGAATTGTATGCAGGTTCTGTGTGTGTGTGTGTGTGTGTGTGTGTGTGTGTGTGTGTGTGTGTGTGTGTGTGTGTGTGTGTGTGTGTGTGTGTGTGTGTGTGTGTGTGCGTGTTCTTGTGCTCCTTGGGAGCAGGTTACACTTTCCAAGCTCCGTTTCCTGACTTTCCCTAACGTTCTCTGCCTGCCCAGGGTGACTCTGGCATAGCCAGAGTCGACCAGAGTCGACCCTGGAGCACCTTCGTCGACCCTGCCAAGGTAGTACTGAACGACTGGTACGTGGAATCGCAATGTAGCTTTCAGGACAAATTATTTGGGTATTGTCACTGCTGCGTCGGCCGTGGTCCACCACTCGCAGTGGAGTAGCTGTCCCTCGAGTGCTACAATATCCAAGCTCAAAGATAGCAGTGGTTGGGTTAGAGGATTGGTTTGTGGAGTCCTGGAACGAGTTGCTTACAGTGGAGTGGACGAGCGAGTGCAAAGAGGAAGGTCGCAATGGCGGAATGGTGGAAATTGAAAACGTTTCAATTTTCCGTCATCATGAGAACACTGTTCAAGCGTTGTGGAAGGCTGTCAGATGTGTGAGGCCATGCCCTGCCGCTTACATCTTCAAAGTGGAAGAACTGCCAGTAGAGTCCTGGTGGGATTTCGGATACCCGCACTGCTTTTGCTTGGCGGATTCTTTCTTGAACAGTTTTTTTGTGATGTGAAATTCGGCAGTGTTTTTTCCTCCTTTTGTTTTTCAGTCGTTGTCACTACAGCACAGCAGTCGTACATTCTACTCCTTTTGTTTAATTTGTCTCGCCAGTTTTGCTAGCCGATTCCCTTTATTTGCCACTGGCCCTCATAGTGTCCATGCTAAGGTGGAGGGCAGCGTCACCCATTTGGGTAGCTGTGTCCATGTGCAGTGGTAGCAAGTGAAATCCAACCCCTGATATCCGTGCTCGAGTGTAGCACCGATTCCGATTCCAGCGGTCTCTATACTTTGTAGTGTTACAATCCTGTGCTGGGTCTTTGTAATATGAGCGCACCGCTCCAGTTGTCGGATTTCAGTTGCCAGCACTATTCGATCATGTAGTTATACCGCCATTCCGGCAACAGGCTCTCAGCTGCACCAAATAGATAAATAAATAACTTTGAACAGTACACAATCCTGTAGTTATACCGGTACATCAAACATAATCACAATGGTTAGGAGTAGGGTATGTGGAAAGGTGCGCTAGCTGTTTGTTTTTAAAGACTTTTCCCCGTTTCAACTTCCTCAACCTTATGAATACTTTCTGTATTGGAGGACTCCCCACTACCACTAGTGCTAGTTTGTATGTGAAGTGTGTGGGTTACAGCGAGGGCTGCGTCCCAACAGCCTGTGTGGATTCACAGGAAGCGTAAGTTTCATAGTCTGAAGAGAATGTTAAGTTGTCGCTGCTGGGATGACGACTACACCATAGCTTAGTGGTAGGGCATCGCTAGCCATAAGCGAGGGTCCCTGGTTCCAGTCCTGGTGGTAACAGTCAATGTTTCCTTCAGATTTCCCGTTTTAACTCCCTCAGACTTATTTATTTATTGTTCATTGATAATTACGGATAACCCAAAGGCTGGAGTGCCTATGACGTATGCCTAACTTATTTTAAAATATTATTTTGCATGCTTGTGTCTAAGTGCACCAGCAGGAAACAGACAAGAAGTTGTTGAAGCAGCTCCAGCGGCCTGACACCCACTGTCGGCTGTCACCATCACAGCTGCTACCAGTCTGTGTGGAATGCTTACCCCGGCAATCTCGAACTACATCACATCACTCAAGTACGTCGGTAGACAAGCCAGTATCGTGTAGAAACCCACGGTGATCGCAAATATGGGCCAGCACAATAGCCCACTGTGGTAATGACGGCAGCAGTGCGGACCACGGTACAGACACTTGACTCTACAAAGAGCACGCACACCGACACACACACATGCACATGCAAACACACGCACACACATACACATGCAAAAAGCACGCACGCACACATACACACACACGCACGCACGTACGCACACATACACACGCACGCACGTACACACACACACACACACACACACACACACACACAAGCCAAAGCGGCAAAGACCACGTCAGAAAAGAAACACCGGAATCAATAGTACAAACAGACCCACGCCTCAATCTCGCTCAGCCCCTCAATGAGAAACAAAGACACAATTGCAAAATCTGAGATAAAAAACTGCATACCCGAACATGTGAATAACTGCCTGTTTGACTTAGTTCAAGCCATGGTTGACGTACAAGTAGGCAGTGATGGCCATCCACATGCAGTGTTGACTCGATACGATCACAACTCCATCTCCCCGACTTACTTACACTTACACCTCCCCATCGCTGAAGCGATGATAGCGTACAAGCTATGATAGACATAGCAACTTGTGCTGGAATTACACCATTCAACAGCTTGCAAGGCTGATGAATTGACCTTGACACGGACAACGACACTAGATTTCTAGAATATACTTGATAACATATATTTTTCAAGGATTCTCCAGAGGCAAATGGATGCCCAACAAAGGGACAGTCTCCTGGGGAAAGGAAGTGAAGGTGGCTGTTATGAGAGAGAGGGAGAAAGGGACATAACAAGGTTGTTTTTTTTTTTTACTATTGAACACTCACTGCATGATGAACTAAAATGAGGAGAAGAACTCGACACAATGGTACATATCCAGCAGGACGGAGTGGGTGGGACCTGTGAAGCTCAGCCGACCAAGGGTCTCGTGGAAGGGCGGGGAGGGGAGCAGGAGAGCAAGAACTCTAAGGGTAGGAAAGAGAGGAGGGGGGGGGGGGGAAACCAGGAAACTTGTTATTCCAAGATATGAGTGCAAACAAATACGCAAACAAGTACAAATATAGCAGTATCAAGATATGATGCTGAGGCGAAAGTAGAGGCTGATTGCCGTGCAGATATGACGAAAGATTAGAGTTAGAATGGAGGAGAGTTAGAGAGAGATAAAGACAGATGGATTGGGAGTTTGATGAGAAAGGAGTGCTCCGAGAACATGAACAGGGTCGCACTGGCAGTAGCCTAGGGGGCGATGTCCGTGGCCAATGACCAACCCGACCGTTTCAGGTAGCGGTAGGTCTGAACCTTGAACTGCTGCATCCCTTTGGCAGACGGTGCATCGCGAAGGAGAGTGGCTGGCAGTTCATTCCAGGCTTCGATGAGGCACTCCGGGAAAGAGCGCAGCGCAACATTGCACGATCTGGCAGGTAGGGCTGTCTGGAGTTGAAGCTCGTGCGCAAGGTTGGCTGCCAAGCGGCGACGTGTGGCAGGCGCGATGGCGGGTGCGATGGCTCTGGCCGGGCGTGTCGCTGCAAGAGCTGGCGGGCTTGCGATGTCATGGAGCTTGTACAGAGTTGTGAGGCCGGCCACACGGCACCGCAGGGACAGAGTGTCCATTGCAGCCCCTGTCCCAATCAGGGTGAGTGCACGATGCTGGACTCGGTCCAGCTGTGAGAGATGGGTAGCCGCAGCTCCCATCCATACAAGTGGACAGTACTCCATTAGAGGCCGAATGAACCCCCGGTATGCTGTGGCCCGGCCCGGTGGGTCCAGGACATGGCACGCCTTCCGGAAGAAACCAATTCGCTGTGTGGCACGCACTGCAGTTCCTCAAAGATGCTCCGAGTATGTTAGATGGGCATCAAACGTCACTCCAAGGAGCTTCAGCCGCGAGCATTCTGGGACAGCTGTGCCGTTGAACTTGATGGGTGGTGTCTCCCAGGGTCTGCGGTGGCGGGACACAGTCATGGCCTGTGATTTCGTTGGCTCAAAAGTGACGCGCCACTGAGCACCCCATTCAGCAAGTGCATCCACACCAGCTTGGAGGTTGCGGCACACTTCTGTCACAGCATGTGGTGGGGGTAAGGTGAAAAATAAAAATAATGCAAACAGGAACAGCAGAAGCTACTGATCGTGTACAGTACAAGCTGGACACTAACTCACCTCCGTACAACGCTGTGTGGCCAGTGATGTTTCTATGAAGGTCCTCTCAGAGTGACGGACAGTACTGCGTTTGGCGTGTGAGTCGGCGGCGAACAGAAACCAAGTCACGCACCAGACCATACCAGCACCACCTGTGCACAGGAGTCAGGACAGTGTGTGTTGTCATGCGCACACATACACACATGCATACACCCCACGCACATACACACATGCATACACCCCACACACATACACACATGCATACACCCCACGCACATACACACATGCATACACCCCACGCACATACACACATGCATACACCCCACACACATACACACATGCATACACCCCACATACATACACACATGTACATGCCCAGCGAACAAGTTACCATGGTTACGATAGACATACAATGTACTACAGTAGAAACTTGTGCTAGGATTACACCATTCAATAGCCTGCACGGCTGATGAATCGACCGCCATACATTTTACCATGTACATACAAACTATGGATCCGCGACGTACCGAGGAGGTCAAGAACCACATTTCCGCTTCCGTGGGACGCTACCACTCCATGATCCGGTGATAGATGTAGCTCATAATATGGTGCGGGAGGATAGATCAGATCCACCAACCAGATCCCTAAAAAGGCCGAATACTCATTATGCCGCATTCATCTTGTTAACCTTGTGCCAGACCGCACGTTCCCAATTCACTGTGGGTCGCAGCACGGTTGAAAACCCACCCGCTTCCAAGCAGCTCATGTGTTTAATAGCGGTATATGCTTGACAATTTTCCACTGCACCCACGAACGGTGATGAAGAATGTTCCGCTAGTTTATCTAACAGTTCTGTTCAACAAAGCACTTTTGTCGCGTTTCAGTCTCCGGGTATTATGCCACGTACCGGGTTGCCGGGTGACTTAGACATAGCCACGATAGTCATAGACAGGCACACTCTCAACATGTAGATCTACTCGTTGGCAAAGCCCAGGAACCCGAGGAGCATCAGCATGCATCTGAGCTGGGAAGTAGCACTGGTCATCTCCATCTCCATTGCTGATACTTCTTCAGTAATGGCTTCAGCTCACTAGTAGTAGTACTACGTGCATTTTGTGACATCCTCTCCGAAAGTGTAATACAACCAGTTACCTGATTCTATTACTGATTGAATCAGTCATGTAAATAAATACTCCGAAATCATGAATGGGACGATGAAAGCAGAACATTCTTCAAGCTCCTTTCAAAGCCCAAGCTACAGAAATGACTAGCCATAAGGCGATATCGCAACTTTGTCTTCGTTACCAACCGCCATGGTGAAATCTACTAATCGTTATGCTTCGCAGACATGTCGGTTCCACGAAATACTTTTCAAGGCCTTCTTCAATCAAAGCATCACGCTTCTCAAGCAGGTGGATTTTTAAAAATTACTTCAAATCATGATGCATTGTGATGAGATTTTTCCCAAATGACGTCAATCTGGCCGGACCCCGGGAATGCAACCGGGGTGCATAACCGGGGAATATGCATACACACCGGGGTCTCACTTGTAGATCGAGGCCTCGTAGATCTACTCTTGTTGTAGTATCTCATGCCTGTTCTTTTAGCAAGAGTACGACTCGTACATAACCCCCAAGATCAGAGACTTCAGTTCAGAGTATAACGGGGTTATGCACTCTTGTTATCAGCAAGAGTACATAAACCAGGTTTATGTACTCTTGTTATCAGGCATAGCAGGAGTACGGTTTATGAACTCTTGGGCATAGGTACTACTCCCTACTGCCTGTTCTTATCAGCAAGATAACAATAACCCCGGCCCAGGTCAGGAGACCTGGGGCCGGGGTTATTGGTATCTTGCTACAGTGTACCACTATAAAAACAAAAGGGAGTCGTGAAAGCCTCTCTGAGCTCTGATCCATATTCTCCTCCGGCGAGTAACGACTTGGTCACGTGCCTAGTTGGGCACAGAGACAAGACATTGCAGTACAAAATTGTATTACTACAGTAGTAGCAAGAGTACATAACATGTTAACACCCGTTTTGTACTCTTGCTAGTATGTGTAATAGCAAGAGTACATAACACCCGTTTTGTACTCTTGCTAGTATGTGTAATAGGATAAGCGCGAAACAGCTGGCAACTCAGAGGCATCCGCAATAAGCTCACACAGTCCTACAGACATGCCATGGAGACAGAGCAGGGCAGACGACATTCAAAGCGACACAAACTCACATGCACAGTTCATGCAGTATGCGTCACAATCACGCACTGCTTGTTCGCAAACGTCTTGCTACCGCTCACACCCTGGCCAGCTATTACCGTCTTCATGTTTCTTCATCATTCCAATTTGCAAACATGTTACACTGTACAGTGTGGGATGACAGTGCGCATGAAGAAGAAATGAAGTCGGAAAGAAAAACTGAACAAACGTCGCATGCAAAGAGAAGACCCAGCTCTTTGTCATGGAAAAAAAAACACGGCAGAAAGCAGTATTACTAGCACCGCTGGTGTGAGTCAAACCAAGAGTGCATAACCAGTTATGTACTCTTGGAAAAACGAAAGAAAATAATATTAATATTGATCAAATGTTTGCACTCAGTTCCATCGAAAACAAAAAACAAGAAAAGTTGCATAGGTTCAAGGATTACGGATGACAGTACGGAAAGAAAAACAACCCCCGTAGCTGTCCAAGTATTCGAATAACCTGTCGAAGTAGAAAGTCATAAAAAAAAGATAAATAGAAATAGTTTCGTTCTCTTGATAACTCTTGATAAGTAGATAGAAATAGTACAATGCACTTAGAAAGCTAAGGAAACGGTTGCTAAGGGATACAGATCACAATTTAAATCCTAGTGATAGAAAATCGAAAATGACACAACTACGTGCACAATGAGAAATGTCCTCAAACATCCATTTGGCAAACTATTAATTTCTTCTGCGAGACACGATCAGCGTGTGGCTGTGATAAAGTGTGGACAAGTATCCAAGGCGATTGAAGATGGGAGATGGTGCTAGCGGAGGTGAGGTGCTGGCTCAGCGTGAGTTGACCAATGCCGTGCTCTGCGTGGTGTCAGTATAGCCTCTCTCCGCATCACTATCGCCTGATCCATCACCAGGGAATGTGTCGTCACCATCACCACAGCCTCCATGATCGTCTTCATCCGTCGTTGGGTAGAGCAATGGCGTCACTCCGTCCTGTCTGCCCCAGGGCTGCCCCAGCGAGTTTTTCTTCTTGTGGGACTGTTTCTTACGGCCCTGCACAAACGTAACACAACACATGCACGCACACACACACACGAGCACGCATGCATGCATGCACGTACACACAAACAAAGCTCATTGCTCAAAGTGTTCTTGCAATTCAGTACACATAGGCAAGGTGCGTCCTGTTCTGTCTTGCACATTCCATTTTTGACAGATCAGAAAATCGGGCTCTCCAAGATTCTCCACTGCAACAGTTTTCACGAAGAAGTTCGGAAGAACATTCATTATCTTTACTTTCACTAAGTGATTATAAGTTACAATGCTGGAGATATCTAGAAAGAAATCCTTCATGAAAGGAAGCTCTACGCATACTCCTCAGCAAACACACATCTCTTTCAATTGAATGAGGCAATCAGAATAGCGCCAGGGAGAGGGTAGTACAGGTACAGTGCGTATCGGTTATAGTGTGGTCGTATACAAGAATATACTGCTTACAAGAATGAACACTCATTTTTTCACAATCATAACACATATTTTATGTGTATATTTATTCTTACAAGCAGTATTATCGCATAGTAGAATATATCGGCCCTAAGAATGGATTTTGTGTAGCAAAATATTCCAGATTAGTGCAAAGTGTATCGCCTGTAGTAATAACATCTGTGCTCTGTGCATACTCAATACAATAATATTCAACCCAAAAAGAGAGTCATGCCCAAGGGAGCATTGGAGAATCACTTTTTCTGTCCAGTCGGACTCTTTCTTCCGACTTCTCTCGTATCCGCTGCACCACAGTCGCCTAGCATGACCGCGAGTCTGATTGATCCGTGTGTATCATGTGTACGTGTCCACATGCCAAACGTGCGCGCATATGATATGTCACACGTGCATATGATATGTCACACGTGATTTATCGTGTGTAAGAAATATCGGCAATAAGAATCAAATGTCGTTTTTCAAACACCCACGCTATAACCGATACCTACTGTATTTGATAGTAGGTTAGTAGTTGTGCTGCAAAGACAACGTGAATACTGCTTCTCTTACCTGAATAACGGTGTCGCTGGGGGCAGCTGCCACACCTTCAGCCCACCATTGCGGAGCACCGGAGGCAAACACAAGGTAGAAGAAAGCGCCAAACAAGTAGATCTCCGCTGACACTACAAACACATTTCTCCACTGATGCGCTGTTCTGTCAGGCTGCAGGGAGAACCGGAGAAAGTGGGACAACAGAGAAAGCCCAATGACAAATTTCAATAGTCTCCGAGTAAAAAGCGTTGGCACAGAGATACACTCGGACTTTGGAACACCTCAGAATTATATATACTGCACCTAACTATGGCCTGTAAAAACGTTATAATGTGTGGTGATGTCGTGTATCAAGGCAATGTTATTTTCCTCAGTAGAAGCCGGTGTCAGGACTAAAATATCTACTAGTATTCAACTCACGTAGTTTAAGGGACTAACACCATGTTCATGTGCCGACAATGCATCATGAAAACCAGGCTTGTGTTCAAAACCTGCTTCTATACAAGGCAGGTTGTTACACATGACAGTACGGTAGCATATGAGGACACGTCGTTAGGTGGCAGACCGTCGCGTTGTTGCAAACGGAGCAAACAATCAAAAATTACGTTCAGGCCCAAAGGCATGCTGCTAAGTGCTTACCGTCATTCCGTCCGCAACCAATGGTCCGACAATGCCAGGGATGGTGGCAAACATGTTGCTAATTCCTGTACGACCATACACACACATACGCATGCACACACATACACACACACATGCACACATATACATGCACACATGCACACGACAGAACAGTTCATGGAAATCAGACAAATGAAATAATTGTCAACGGCTCCTAACGCTCATCTACATGAGGGTAACTGGGCCTCCCGAATGATGATGTTGATGACATCATTATAGGAGCTGTGCCTACTGCACTGCGCACAGCTGTGTTGAATGGCAAGACATGTGATATCACGTCTGTTGTGCATCTGCTTGGCTACTGTAGCGGTACTGGCACTATTAATGGAAGAGAAAGGTGCTAGTGCTATATACACATGCTGCTGCTGAAGCTCATACTGAGAGGCTCCTATCATCTGGTACAAATTAGAGCATCTTCAAGACTCAGCGGGGAAAAGAGAGCTGGATTTTTAGACCAATTAGACGTATATTTCCTTACCCATTAGAACCCCAGCAAATCTTGGCGATAGGTCGAGATGATTGATGTTGAAACCAGACAAGGCTGGACTGGCTGATGCCACACCAATAGTGAGAAACACCAGTGCTGCAGACTTTGTCTCACTGAAGCCAGTAATCACCAGGAAAATGGCTGGAAGACACAAACCTGTATGAATAGACAAACAAATACACACACACACACACACACACACACACACACACACACACACACACACACACACACACACATCCACACGCCCACAGCACAAGGAAAAAATATGCTCACCAGGTGTGTTTGCTGGTTCTGTTGTTGCTATTATGGTAGCTGTCGTCAATGTGCGTTGTTGTTGTTGTTGTTGTTGTTGTTGTGTTTTCAAATCTTTATTCTCGTGGCGTTGTATCTTTGATGTAACTCTGCATTCAGACACACCACCTGATATACACCACCCCTGGCAGAGCACTACCCCCCCCCCCCCCCCCCCCCCAGTACAGACTGACAAAGCACACAGACAAGTCACCCCAGTATAGACAGAGAGCGAGAGCACAGTGACACATCACCAGCACAGACTGACACAGCACTGGGGCACAGCACCCGAATACAGACGACGGACAAAGCACACAGTCAATACAAAGTTGGCATCAACACACATCGACTGACGTACCAGCAGTGGTGAAGATCTTGCGTACAGCGGTCGTCGACAGGTGATTCTCACGCAAATAGTCAGCTAGTCGTCCCAATAACGGTATCAGGATACCGAATATGCCGTACGGCAGAGCCGAGTACAAGCTCCCCTGGATATGCCCACAAACAGACACACACGTGCACACGCATACACACACACGTACACACACACACACGTACAGAAAATGGACGTCATGTAAGTACATGTACACGCAAGACATCAACAAGACATAAACATGAGGTCACACATGCATGTGGTGTACACTCTATTCCATTGAGAAGCACAAGGTGATGAGACAGAACCCAGTACATTTTGATCACCAATAACAAGCTCAATGTGTGGCCAGTATGCTAGTTGGCCAGTATCATAGTTCGCCAGTATGTTAGTTCACCAGTATGCTAGTTGGCCAGTATTCTGGCAATAATACACCAGAGATGTTTGCAATGACAAGTGTACAACCCAACCCACACCTCCACACACACAAACTCCCACAACTGAACACACAAACAGACAGACCTACAGACAGACATGCACACACACACGCCAACACCCACCCACACCCGCCCACTCCCACACAGAAACACACAGAGACCCCCCCCCACACACACACATCGCCGGCTGTGCAAGTAGCAACACACTTACACCCTGACTAGAAACTTACGCCGACAATCTTGAAGTGCAGTACATCACTCATGTACGTTGGTAGACACGTCAGTAGTGTGTAGAATCCCCAGTTGTTACAGAAATGAGCCACCACGATAGCCCACTGAGCTGAAGACCGCAGTAGTGCAGACCAGGGTACTGGAACATGCGACTACAACAAGAACACACATGTGCACGCATGCACACACACAAATACACACAGTCATAGTCGCGCACATACATACACACACACTCACACACACACAGTGTACTGTACTGTACTTGTTGCTCACTACCAAAACTGGTCACGTGAGTCCCCCCGGGAGCGGGGAGAGAGACTCAAAAGGAATCTTGGAAAGATGACTCAATTGGTTATTGAACCGCCCAACGACCGACACCCCCTGAAATCCCCAAAACTCTGGGTGGACTTGAAAATGATCCCACTTATGGGCTCACCACACCTCAGTAAGTGGGTGAGGACAAGGTGCAGAAAAAGGATTGACGGCATCAGGGTATCCGTCCCGGGATCCAACTGCAGTTACCCCTGCCCCCAGTGAAGGTAATACTTGCTACTAGTGTGAGTGGCTAAATCAGAGTGGATCTGATAAAAGCTTCACTAGCACCATTGATTACACAAGAGTTAATCTAGCCAGAAGCAGTCCATGGTTGACAGGTATGTATACTCACACACACACACACACACACACACACACACACACACACACACACACACACACACACACACACACACACACACACACACACACCACACACACACACACACACACACACACACACACACACACACACACACACAATTGTCATTGCACATGTAGCAACACAACAGGTGCACTGAACGTCACCAAGACAAGATCCGAGTAACAGCTGGGTGGTACAACAGAACGTTGGAAAGTTCGCATGCTGAGAGCCTGAGATGAAGCAATCCCAAACCCCGACTATGTTCGCAGCAGCCATGGCCATGCTAATGACCGGAATACACCTAGTCTTCACCTCATGCCGTCTACAAGTACAAGTACATGACTGTACAGTGCTGCTCAATGCAATCCCATTCAGCGAATGAATCCCACGCCAGGCACTGTGCAGGCCTAGACCTGCGAACACCGGGATGTGAAGTTCGTGAACTCGTGCAGGGCGCAAATAACTTGATTCACACAATTGGATTTCATTGAGCAGCCGTGTAGAATATGTAAAAGTGATATTTTTGCAAATGTAGCACATTTAAACTACTTTGTAGAGAGTCAATGCAATCATCAGCACAGCACAGTTGCTACTCACTTGATCTGATTGGCTGCTGGCAATGGATGTTTGAATGTAGTTCTTTTCCTCAGTACTGATACGCTTGTGAGAAGACGGTGAGTCAGCCGCCAAGGCAAACCAAGCCACGCACCAGATAAGACCAGCGGCACCTGTAGTGGAGAGAGAGAGAGAGAGAGAAAGAGAGGGTATTTGCGACCTTGGATTCCATGTGTGGATGCATTAATTCTGTTGACTGCTTGGACTGAAAAATGCGTTATCATTTGACGTGGCTGAAAACAGTGCAACAGGGGCACTATGCACTATGCAGTATGCACTATGCATCCCATACACCCCAGTATATGTAGAGACATAATATACAACGGGGTACTGAGCGTGTAAGAACGGTACAGTATCCGGATCTAGAACATCAACAAAGAGCAGGCTAAAATCGCCGTGCTAACCGAATACGTAGAAAACTGATGGCCAGTTACTCCCGACATAGTCTTTGACACTGCCGAATCCATACTTGGCCAGGAGTCCAGACAGCGGCATAGAGATCACCGTACCAAAATGCGGACCTACGAGAGACACACACAAGCATGAGCACACGTGTGTACAGAACATAGCACGGGCAGACACACATGAACACACACGGATACACACACGGATACACACACACGCACACACATGAAAATGCTGCCATAGAGCAGTTGCATAAGTATCACATGATCATACAGGGTAACCAAATTACTTCCAGCTCCACTCAACACATGTATCTATTGGCCACATGATGTCGGCCATGTTAGTTCCAACTCCACTCATCCCCAGCATCTAACAGTGCGGACACATTGCTATGCTTTAGAGGCTACATACTCTTTACCTCGAATGAAAACAACACACAGGTTATTATTATTATTGTAGAAAGGAAACGGACATATGGATACGAGTTAAAAGTAACTCTCTATCACTGTAACTGGATACTATATACAGTCAGAAAGTGCAATAACTAGGCACAAAACTGACAGAGTACTGAGACATTCAACGTCCTGACACCTAGCTTCAACACATCTCCGTAGCGCTAACCGACAGCCTTCCAACTTGGAAGGTTCAAGGTTATGGAAAGACCAAAGAGGGGAAGGCAAGCGCAACGAAAACAAGCAAAAGCTACAGTCCCAACGGAACAAAGAATGTCGATTGTTACTGGAGAGTTACTCTTAACTCGTTTCCATATGTCCTTTTCCTTTCTACATTTATTTATGGCTCAACATCCGAGTTTCAAATTGCACACCTGATGAGCCGTCACGAACCATACGGCGAAACGTACGTCGTGTGAAACAACTTGTTTTGTAGTCAACTAGTCCAGCACAATGTCATGTATGAGGAGTACTGTAGGAGTTTGGCTTTCGGCTTGTACAATTTGTTTTCGCAAAGCTTCCCCCTTCTTTACTTATCTTTGATATTTATGACCCACCCAAGTTGGGTGGTGTGCTGCTTTGCTGCTTCGAATTGTAGTTAGACTGCTTTGTCAAATATCGTACTGGTCTCGTCATCGTCCAGTAACAATCAACATTCTTTGTTCCGTTGGGACTGTAGCTTTTGCTCGTTTTCGTTGCGCTTGCCTTCCCCTCTTTGGTCTTTCCATAACCTTGAACCTTCCAAGTTGGAAGGCTGTCGGTTAGAGCTACGGAGATGTGTTTAAGCTAGGTGTCAGGACGTCGAATGTCTCAGTACTCTGTCAGTTTTGTGCCTAGTTGTTGCACTTTCTGACTGTATATAGTATCTAGTTACAGTGGTGGAGAGTTACTCTTAACTCGTATCCATATGTCCTTTTCCTTTCTACATTTATTTATGGCTCAACATCCGAGTTTCAAATTATTATTATTATTATTATTATTTATTCTTGTTTCACTAGGGAATTCCCAACAGGCGACGACGCCTTTTTACAGGGAATCCTAGGAACATTTTGATAGATGCGCGAAATTCAGCTGGTGACCTAGGCGTACGGCAAGCCGGTGGCAATGCATTCCACCTATCAGCACCTAAGTAAGAAATTGCAGGTAAACCTCACCAACTAGTCTAAATGTGTAGATACTAGATAGAGCTACTAGCAAACTTACCAGCATAGGTGATAGTAGCTAATCGACTTCTCTCCAGAGGTGGTGCCCATCTTCCCCAGATAGCGTGCATGGCAGGAAACGTCACTCCCTGCATCAACACCGCCATCAAAATCATACAAACACGCACGCACAGCACCCATGAATAATTCGCTCAAGCCATGATTTGATGGCTCGACATTTCCCAAAATTTGAAAACATACCAAAACACCTCGCACTGTGCCATCATCAACGCCATAGTAGAGATTTCACTGTTGACTGGCTGAAACACAATGTTACGTATCTTATGAAGTTGGCAAGGTGATGGTCCGAGAGCCAACTAACGAACCCGTTCGAGCGGCAGGGAAACACACGCTCAACACATGACAAAACTCATCTCGCCAGAGCTCCAGCACAAGTCACTCATGAGTCAATACGCAACAGTGCAGTGGTAAGGACCTGCTAGAATTCCGGTGTTGCTAAACGAAACCAAGGTTCATAAATAGAATAGAGCGAGCCACTGATAAGATATATCCCCATGGCATGGCTAGCAGGAAAGTCTACTTCGTATCCTTACATACTTCAGTATGGATTGGAGTAATAAAATAAACCCATACCCCTGAACAATGTCCGTAAAACGCAAGAGTACATCTTGTCAGAGTGTGTACTAAGCGAGTTCCACTGTAAGTCAGCCCCGTCCACCAGTGTACAACCCAGTGATTGTATTGTATTGTATTTCAAGGATTACCCAGCGGCGTTCTTATTAATTAGTAGTGTTTTTGTTTTTTTTGTTATTGTTTTTCTCCTTTTGAATTGAGTTTGGGTTTGAAATTCTTTGTTTTACACATGCATTTTTCTGAAAAAAATAACCAGAGGCTCTAGTGACTGCAGTGTTAAGGTTGCATAGTGTACAGTATACAGCACTAACTGAACCATGAGACCAGGTCTATCCAGCAGCTAGCAAGGACAAAACATGCACAAGGTTAAAAAAACACACACACACGCATGTGCGTGTGCCCATGCGCACAAGCGCATGCACACACCCACAAACACACACACACACACACTCTCTCTCTCTCTCTCACACACACACACACACACACACACACACACACACACACACACACACACACACACACACACACACAAACACCATGTACCATGTACCATGTATACGCCTGTCGCAAGAGAAGCACGCAAATCTGCAAATGCACTGGATGTGCACCCACAGATTTTCTCTTATAGCAACGATAGCGAACAAGATCTGAATGAGACAGATCATCAAGACTTGCGCCAGATAACTGTCTAATCCACACAACTGGCGAAGCCATGTGAATCCACCACCAATGTACACCTGGTCTACACCACACGGAATACATCGGCCAAGACAGTTACCTATGCACACCCTACACACCCCACACAAACACACACACACACACGTAAACATGAAGCACTCACCTCGCCGATACCTTCCACAATGCGCACAGCAACCAGCCACCACACACCAGCCCGGGCAGCTACTGGTGTTAGCAGTGTCAGGACAGTGGTAATCATGACACCAAAACCAAACACCTTTTTACCACCGATACGACCGGCTAACCATCCACCAGGTACCTGCGTCAGGATGTACCCGTAGAAGAACGAACCCAGGATAATGCCTACATACACACACACACACACACACACACACACACACACACACACGTGCACAAACGCACACACATACACATGCACAGTGACACATACACGCGCACAGCAGAGATGACATGCCAGCAGTACCAATTATTAGTGAGATTTCTCTACTCTACTCACTAACAGTTACATGACTGTACATGTTGACCAAAGCAGCAGCAGCAGCAGCAGCAGCAGCAGCAGCAGCAGCAGTGGTTGCAATTCACATTTTTATCAATCAATTTTGCTGTTCTCTTCTTGAATTCAACGCTCTCTGCACCTGCAGCAAAAGCAGCACCAGCAGTAGCACCAGCACCAGTAGAAGCTGTGCCAACAGAAGCAGCGCCAGCAGCATCAGCAACAGCACCAGCAGAAGCTGTGCCAGCAGAAGCAGCGCCAGCAGCAGCAGCAGCAACAGCACCAGCAGCATCATCAGCAGCAGAAACAGCATCAGCAGCAGAACCAGCATCAGCACCAGCAGCAGCAACAGCAGCAGCAGCAGAAACAGAATCAGCACCAGCAGCAGCACCAGCAACAGCACCACCAGCAGCAGCATCAGTAGCACCAGCACCAGCAGCAGCAACAGCATCAGCAGCACCAGTAACAGTAGCAGCCACACGAAGAGAGTAATGTAACCAGTTCATACCTTGGGTCTGTTTGTCCCAGGCAAATTCAGCATCCTGCAAACACAACACAACAGAAACAAGATGCAAGTTGGGGCCGAATCACAAGAGACATCACACCATACCATGGGGTAACCATGCCAACTAATGAAGTTCATCTAGTAGCAGTTATCTTTCACTTGGCAGTCTCTTTTCTAAGTTTTCTTGACAACTACAACTCTTCATTTTATCCATTAGAACGCTTGATCATACTTCTGCCAAAATCGACGAAAGGAAATACTAGGGATTTTCCCGGGAACACCAAAGTGCTACGGTGATCTGGCTTCAGAATCTACGGTGTAACTGGATACTCTAATTTCAGAAATTTTCGGTGCTCAATATTTTCGGTTTGAGGGCAACATGCTAGGTTAGGTGAACAGAAATTTTCGGTACAGAGAAGCAGTTCCCTATTGTATTATGTGTATTAGTGTTTGTTCGGTGTATCGAAACTTTAGGTGTAAAATGGGCGCACCGAAAGTACCGAAAATAAAAGTACACCGAAAATTTGTGAAATTACAGTATGTGTGTTAGTGTTTGTTCGGTGTGTTGAAATTTTAGGTATGAAACAGACGCACCGAAAGTACCGAAAATAAAAGTACGCCAAAAATTGGTTAAATTACAGTACAGTGTATCCAACTGTACAGTCCATTTCAAAACTATAGACGCGTAGGGTTTTTGAAATATTTCAAATTTGGCTGGGACTTTTTGAGAATAAAAAAAATTGTAAATTATCGTGTCCGTTCCCAAAGGGAACTCACGACGGCCGCTAACACCCGATAAACCCTAGCGGCAGATGCAGCGCCTAACGGTGAGGGTGAGTGGATAAGTCTCACAACCACTGGCACAAGTGCCGAAAATGACCCCATTAGCTGCATCCATGTACCCCTTGTGCCTGGCCACGAGTTCCCAGTTGACTGTGGGTAGTAGCACGGCTGGAAAAAACGCTCCCAGGCAGGACTTGAACCAGGTACCTCTCGTATCTCAAACATGGTCTTTGACCAACCCACTGCGCCTGCCTGGTTTTGAGAATAGTTTTCGGAATATTGCTCAGGTCCGCTCCACAATTACTCTCATATAGTTTCTAAACGATTGGATAACAGACGCCCAATTTGGAAAAGTTTATGCACAAAGTGATCACAGATTTTATGTGGTATAGATGCTGGAATAACGGGTTTTGCCTAGGTACGTGTCTATAGTTTTGAAATGGACTGTAGTGGGGCGCTGGCCTTGTAGCCGCGAGCACTGCTGGTCCATTTTTACAATGTGTACGTGAACTACAGTGCAAGTACGCGCTAAAAGCAGTAAGAGCGCCGGCTCCGGTCATCCCATCGGATTTCAATGTCCACGACGGTACGAGTCATGACGAACAATTTGTTTATGTAAGGTAGCTGGCTGATGAAGATTGTGAGAGCACTACCTGGCTGATAGAGATTCATTGACATGTGCTGATCATTATGCATGCATGCTCCAAGCCACTTTTAGCTGCATCACCCCAAGTGATCATGGTCACTCCCCTAACCCCCACTCCACCCACCCAATAAACAAAATCTGCCGAATCAATCGTTATAATTGTACACTTGTTGCCAAGTATCATGAGTACACTTGTGCATGGTTTCGCCAGTACCAGTATTCGGGCATGGCAAAACTCACCGGAGCGTCCGGAGACTGCACCATTGCAACGATCGCCACCGACAGGTTCACTCTCAGCGCGTAGACATTGGCAAAGCCAAGAAAACTGAGAATCGCCAGCATATACCTGGCTGGCATATAGGGCATGCAGCTACAGCAGCCATCTTCCGACAGGCTGTTGGAACTGGAATACGAGATCAACCCATGATCAGCTTGGTCAGATCTGCGCTTCATTTCATCCCTGAGAAAACGAACTCAAATAAACTTGGGCTTGAGTTGAAGAAATTCCACGACTCCCAGACCACATTCGCTGCAACGCAAATAATATTATTATTATAATAAGGCCTGTGCGAAGGTTCCGCTGGGTCAATCCTCTAGGACCAGGAAGGCAGCAAGCTGCAAGCTGACGATTCTCAGGGAGAAACGATGCTGAACGTCCAGCTAGTTGGACAGGGTCGATCGAGTTCAACTACGAAAAAGTAGGTGACTCGAAGACGAACAAAACCAGCGAAATAGCCAAACGAAGCCTTCATGACGTCTCCGGCCGGCACATGTGCAAACACACGTGACGTGCAGGTCACGATCGAGCCATACGCAACTGCAAGGCCGGCCCCGGGCGCCGGGCGTGAAGCGAAAGCCCGTGCATGGCCTGGACCTGGCCCAGGTGGCCTTGGCCCGGACTAGCTACTAAGTATGTATTAGCCGTGTCGACAACCCCGGTGATGTTTGTGCCTGGAGTCTCCGGAGAGCACTATAAGTAATTAGTAACAAGTGGTGCTCTTCAGGCACAATCTTCCTCAGCCTACTCAAGCTCAACTGATGAGGGGTGAATTCCCCGAAACACTGTGTATTGAGCAGGGAGTGGTGCTTTCTTGCAGGTTTGCCGAGTGGACGGTTCGATGGACTTCTCGTGTGTTCTGGATGGCAGTCGTGAGTCAGTCAAGTGAGAATTCAAGTCGGCAGGAAAACCGCGAGCTCCCATGTACTGGGAGCAACACACTGACTCTTCCCCTATAATAATAAGACTGGTACTTAGTAGTTGGCGGGTATCAAGCCAACTAGAAATCAACTAGAAAGTAGTAGAATGGATTCCATGCTACTGAAGTCAGTGAATAGGGAATTGTGAAGTACTGATGTACATTGTACAGTGCACATCCATCGGAGCCTGATCTTCCCTCCCTCCCCGATGCTCTCTCTCTCCCTCCCTCCCTCTCCCTTTGTCCTTCCCTCCCTCCCTCCCTCCCCGAGGCTCTCTCCCTCCCTCCCTCCCTCCGTCTTCCTTATTCCTTCCCTCTCAGCATCAATCCTTCCCTCCCTTACCCCTCCCTTAGCCATTCTATTGAGTAGGCTCAGCTCGTTTGGTCACTGCGAATTAATAGAATCAAACTGCTCAGGAACAACGGCTACACAGGCTGTTCAAATGTGCCGCTCGGGCAGTCTGCAAGTCGCCACCGTGGACCAGTACTGCTCCCCTGCTAAGTCGAATGCATGTATGTGATCTACAGGTTTCTGTGCACTTGAATATGTTTTGTTTCATCTGGCGATGTTTGCATGATGCATGTAGCACCCTATTTGTGTCCTTTTTTGCTGTCGTGCCCTCAACTCGCACTCCCCAAAACCACGGGCCGATACTGTTCGAACCCGCCAGCAGCATTATGCTCAGCGCCAGCACCGGGAACAGCTCTTAAACACCACCCCCGGCACCAGTCCCGATTACCTTCGACGTTCCTTCCCCTACTGTCTCCTTGAATTGTGGAACAGCCTCCCCGAGGACGTCTTTCCCCGTCTGGCCAATCACTCTCCACTCACAGCTTTTAAAAAAGGTGTCAACAAACACATTTCAGACCAGCCATGGTCTTGGGACGTGCTTTGAAGCCCATCATGTTGATCGTCTCACTGTTCTTTCCAGATCGCACCTCTCGGTTTGGGGATGTGCATTGAAGCACCCCATACTAACGGTCTATACTGTCCTCTCTTGGTCACCACTCTCCCTATTACCTATATTGTAATTACCATTCATGTATTGCGCTTCAGATTTTCTTCCGTTTTTGTCTCTTGGTGCGTTACCGGCATGGCGATACTGAGACCTAATGGTCAGTGGAGTGCCTGTAGCCTCACCAGCACTGCTACTATCTGTGACTGTGGCGACCACCATTCAATGTCTCGTCCTCCCCTAACCGTACCCCAACTCTCTCTCTCTCTCTCAGCTCTCTTTTTATCTGTCTTTTCTTACTCTTTTTTCTTTGTCAGCTTTCCTGGTGGTTATGTGCTTTTTCAAGTAAATAAAAAAAAAATAAAAAAATAAAAAACTCGAGGAGGCCATAGCAACTTGCTTGTGGTTCCACCTGCTAGCACTGCTCGTTCTGCTAAGCGCCTAACGCACGCTGGAGCCATTATGTGGAATAGATTGCAACCAGCGGCAAAATGTATTGCTCACTGGATTGATATCTGTTCATTACAACCAACCTTCCGTTTTCTTTTCTTTCTCTTTTTCTCCTATCTCTACTTTTTCACAATATCCTTTAAAATTTTATTCACAGTGGGTCCAATGTTATTAGGCATTATGCCTGTTTTGATTTCCACTATAAATAAAGTATACAACAACAACAACAAACAAACAAACAACTTCCCTGCATCGATCCCCATTCCCCCTTCCTTCTGTCCGTCTGCCCCCCCCCCCCCCCCCCCCCAACCAGACCAGCACACCATGGTACACAGGTAGAAGCAGTAATGCACTACAACGAGCGTCTAGGGCACATTATGCATTAATTTCTGCTGCCTACATTTTTATATGTTTTACTTCGGCCTGTATGACTACTAGTACTACAGTATTCACTTCGTCTTGGGGGTATGGGGGTTAGACATGGGGAAGTTGCCATACACTGAGGGTGGTGAGCCCGCCTTTCGGCGCTGGAAATCAGTACAGATCGTTCGACTCTACATGCATCGTCGGTCGATTTGCTCTCGGTACATCGGCACGTCCCTACATCCCCCTTTGACTTTGTCTTGTCTTACATACATTGTACATGGTGTCATCCACACGTTTCCAAGTAGGGTTGTGTTCACAGTTAAAACAAGAAAACAAAAAAATGGTACCTCAATTCGCGATTGGTAGAATGGCTGCAGTGTGGTTATAACTCCTGCCAGGATGGCTCCTCCGCCGTGTTCTACAGTATAATGGTGTACATGTACGTGTACGTGTACGTGTACGTGTACATGTACTTCGTCATTTTCCACTGCTCACTGTCTATTTTGCCCGTACAAGAGGCTCAGTTTCTGTCCACGGGACCATGGTGAGGATACCTTCTTTCCTGGTGTAGTAGTGCTGTCCGTAACCGCCCATTTCTTTTCATTCCCTTCAGCTCAATCCCTGCCTCTTCTTGTCTCTTTTCTCTCTGTGTGACACGTTCAGGCCTTCCGAGGCTGATCGGACACTATCAGCTTGACCTCATTTGTCACAACTCCTCTTTGAAACTGGCAATAGCTAATGACGAGGGATCATGATGATGCATTCTTGTAAATTAGCCAGGTGTGAATACCTGCAATGGGGTTTATAGCTGTAAGCGTCAGTATGTTCCTCTTGACTGGATTACACAGAACAGATAATTATAATAATTATGATGAAATTGCAATTATGATGTCATTTGATTTATGTTTTTGGCAGAACATTCTATTTCCGGCATATGCGAATATGTGGGTTGCCATTGTGCGGCTGACATTGCCGCGGAAATGCATAAGCATCAGGATGGCTTGGGTACGAGGGAATAGACTACTGCTCTAGGTCGGCGGTGCAATTGTGTACGCTACCACTCTGCTGGTTCACGTGGTGCGGAAACGACTCCACATTCAAGTCATGTACATTGTGCATGTAGTACTATGAAGTATGATGCCACTATCGCCTACTTCGAAGCACACGCATACAGGACTGTGTACACACACTTGAGAGGAATCAAAATCGTTTTTGCTGTAACTCTGAGTTTCACGGTTGCTGTCTGATGATTGGACGGTGAAACGCCCTCCGAGTTTACAGGTGTGTATGTGTGTGTGTGTGCGTGTGCGCGCGCGCGCGCGCGCGCGTGTGTGTGTGTGTGTGTGGTGTGTGTGTGTATCCCAGCACAAGTTGCTATGTCTAACATAGCTGTTCGCTATCATCGCTTCCGCGATGGGCAGGTCTGAGGTGTGTGTGTATGTGGTGTGCGTGTGTGCGCGCGCGCGCGCGCGTGTGTGTGTGTGTTTATCGTCACGTTCGTGCGTTGTGTCTTTCTGCTGTATCTGAGACATGTTATTTTAATCTTCCAACATCAAACTTCCAAAGAATACTACACCCCTCCTCCACACACATACACCTACAAGTAGCCAAGGGCTGGTTGCAGCAAGTGTCTCTTAGTCTTAGTCTTACTGAACAGTGAAGGTTAAATCTGATCTGAATTGATTCTCTCCATGACAAGATAGTTACCAGTTAGCTATGCACTTGACGGTTGGAATTGTCTCGACGAGTCGAAGTCCTCTCATGTAGAACATTGGATACCACTACCTACATGATTTGTTGTAATTCTGCTGCTACATGTACGTATAATGTACTGACCCGCATACAACACGTACACGCGTGCCCCATGCATAGCGCATACCAGCACAGTCATGATGCGTTGCTCCTCGAGTGTCGATGGCTGTAAAGTGTGGGTGTGTGTGTACAGACTCAGTGGTGAACGCTTGGTAGGCTGTTGCTAGTGAAGCAGGTTATGCATGGTTGATTCACACAATCACACTTCACACCAATGCTGGCAATGCGATCGGTACCACTAGTGCACTGGCATTGGTAATAGATAGCACGGGTCATTGCCAGGACAACCCGTTGACGGTTCCCACCATCCACTCGACCTCACAGTCACACACTGACTGTCCAAGGCTCTCAGCTCCATCAGTTCATGTAACTAGTTACTTTGATCATTATGTTCCAGTTAGGGAGTCGTATAACCCTTTATACGACTCCCTGGTTCCATGATCCAGTCTACAATCATGCATGTACATGTACATGTATGTGTGTCATGTAGATGTACATGTATCTCCCACGGTTCATTATCCGACTCATACTGAAACTGCTTTTACCAAAGTCCAAGTCTGTCACAGGTAGTGTATGTCTAGCATGAGGCAGAGCTGCTACATGGCTGTACATGACTGTACATTGTACTAATCTCAAACCTCTTTTATGGAGTTAAACACAATAAAAGAATTGCACACATTTACATTGCACTACTCTACATGTGGGCGAGCGTATACAGTCAGGTACACCAGTGCAGTGCAGTGCCGAGGTAGTGTGTGCAGCATAGATCTGTTCTAGACATACCACATTGTTACCATGTACACTACTGGCAGTACTGGAATGATGAGTGGAATGAAGACTTGAACTTGAAGTAACATAGTTGAAGCCTGTAATGAAGCCAGCGCAGTTGATACATGTCAATGGGTCACTGGATACGACTCTGTTGTCATCAGTTACA